GTGAAATGTGAGAGGAAATGGAGCCAAAAAGACTGAGGCTGTCATGTCCTCAAAACACAGATCACTGAGATACGGAAGTGCAGCGTCACAGAGTATGACTGGTGACTCTGATTAACGTCTATTGGGTACACACACTCTGTTGCTATTGTTTTTAATGATGCTTTAATTAAGCAAGTAGATAATGCATAGGCCGCCTGTCAGAAAGTCCGAACAGAACATTCTTGTAGATCATGGTGTAAAGACGTGGGAGTTGGACTGCATGTCTTTACCCTCTTAGCGCAGCATTTACCAATTTACAGCCATTCATAGAGGCCGGGGCTGCCATACAAGGTGCCAACTGCTCAAAGAAACATTACTTGATAACCCTTGTCATATATTCATTGTACTGAGTATTTTTGTTTCCTTTTTATTGGGAAAATAGTGAATGTTCCTTCTACATCAGAGTAGCACATGATAAGAGAGGCCCTACGTAGCTGTGTACGTAGCCGGATGTATGACTACATGGAAGACGCTCATGAGACACTGTGTTGAAGTTATAGCTATGTTCCTAAGATTAACATGATGACACAGAATCTAGAGAGATAGACATATGACTGTCATGTGTATTGCTTACGCAGGCCTAAACTAATCTGAATTAATGTCAGAATACTGCTTTGAACCGGTGTTCTTCCATCTTGTTGACTGTAACTCCCTCTCTTGTATATCAGCATATCAAGGACACTGTTCTGGGAACTATTTGTCCCACGCAGCTCTGTGTGTGATGACTACTTCCATTCTTGCAAGGATCATAAATACATGTATCCTGATATTGAAGACCAAGCCGGTGACGAGTGATATTTTTCTAACACCTTTCAATCATTACTTTTGGTGTAGATACTTGATTTCATTTCATTTTTATTTGTTCCGTTCATGGTAACTTAATGTATAACAATTATTTACAAAACATGTCTCTATAAACACACCGTACCCGAAAAGGAGCAGGGAGAAGAATATCATCTTATATTACCTGCCCCTTTCTCAAAGAAACTAAAATAAATAGATGGTCTGTCCTTCATATTTTCTTATTCACAGCCAATCATAACAGTATCGTAGGAAAATAAGAGAAACACAAAAACTTTCAAAACAATACTTAGTTCCCACTTGACAGTTAACGGAAAGAAACACCCTCATCTGAGTCCTACTCCTAACTTAATGTTATAACGTTTAAAAATATATATTTTTCTCTTTATAATTGTAGCAGCCATATGTTAAAATGTATAGTTTGATATATTTAATTGACGACATAGACGACCGCAGCTGTTTTGTGATTAAGCGTTACAGCCGACGGCAGCTGCTGGTGATTGTGTGTGTGAGAAGGAGAAAGAAGCACAGAGCAACATCGTTTTGACCTGAGAAAATATGTGTTTGTATTTGATACCTTGTGTTTTAAGTAAAGAGTCAAACAAACTATCCTGAGACGTATTTTGTCCGAGTCAAGCTTACTGTTACCTGTGAATCGAATTTTGGATTAGACGGAACTACAATAATCATTATCTTTTCTCTAACAACTTATTTGCTTCCAGTATGTTGTTTATGTTTGCACTACCACACGCCAAAGCAAATTCCTTATATGTATAAATGTACCTGCCAATAAACTCCATTCTGATTCTGATTCAAGTAAACATTGATATATTGACTGCAGGGGCTGGGATCAAACCCCCAACCCTTCGATTTGTAGAAAACTACATCCCCCAAACTGGTATCTGGACAACGTCAACTCTATAACCATCAGATCAATCTCTTCCTGTGCAAACTCAAGATATCAACATGTTCAGATCAGAAGTCTTGACACAAATAGCGTACTTTGAGCTAAACCCAAAGATGACTTGATAACCCTTCAAAGTTTCCACTGACGATGAGACAAATAAGTCATGTTGTCGGACCACCAATGAGACGCTGAGGCTGAGGGTTGACACAGATCTTATGAAGTGAGCAGAGTCAGGGTTTGCACAACACTCACGAGGAAACCTCCGAGCAGAATGGCTGCAGTCGAAGAGCTCTCCGTCCTGCTGTTTGCTCTCATCAGCAACATTCACGCTGAAGAACTCATCGTCATTCGAGAGGAAAGCGACTCTTATACCTTTGAGATCCCAGAGGAGGCCGGCTCCTGCCTGATCTCCAGATGTGTTGGTGAGGAGAAGCTGGTCCTGTGGAACTCCTCTGACCTCCTGCCCCAGAACTCCTCAGTCCCTGAAGACCTGAAACAACGACTTGTCCGCATGGCCGATAATTCTTCTTACATGATCCACAACCTGACCCCTTCAGACTCCGGCCTGTACCAAGAGGAGTGCTGGACTGAGGGCAAAGTGACTTACCAGAAACACATCACAATTATTGTTTGTTTTTATATAGCGGAGTTCGTCAATGGACACATGGCAGATGATGAACTGTTATGTTCTAAAACAGCTCACAAACTGAATACCCAGTGGCTTAAACGGGATCATCGATATGAACAAGAGACATGGACCAGAGTTGTTGGGGCATCAGTGATGGACAATGATAGAGGAAGATACCAAGTGGTGAAAAACACATCAGCTCTACGTATATCCAACTTCTCAACAACTGACTTCGGAGTATACACCTGTCTGCTGATGGACCAACAGCAGTGTTTTATCAGTCACCCTGCACAGTATCAGCTGGAACCAGATTTTATTTATCACTCAGTGGACGACACGGTTGTGTTGCAGTGCCCTGTCACTGATTTCAGTGAAGAGAAACCTCCATACTGGACGGCTACATTAATCAACAGTGATCAAGAACAACTAAACTACACTGGGTCTTTAGTGGACCAGAACTACTCTCTGGTGTTTACATCAGTAACGTTAAATCACACAGGTCGGCACTCTTGTAATAACTTAAATACTGTGAAATCATATGTGCTGGTGGTTTGCCCCAAATTCCCCCCCCCTGCTGTAGAGCTCTTCTCCGGGGGAGAAGAAGTCACTCTTAGATGCAAAGATTGGGAAAATGGTAGGTTACATTTTTGGTACTTTAAGTCGAACCGAACCAAAGGAAGAACCATTCATCTGTTGAATCAGATCAGTATCAATTTGCGCTGGTACGCTGATGGGAGACTGGGCATTTCTAATCTCTCTCTGCAAGACACAGGAGAGTATTGGTGTGCAGTTATTGACTATGATTATCAGTGTATGTTTTCAAGCAAAACCCTCCTAATGCACAGAGACCCCTTTGGGGTTTACTCCACCTTGTACGCAGTGAGGTGCTCAGCGCTCAGCGTTCTGCTGCTGCTGCTCTGTGTGGCTGTGGTCACTGTGACCCTGAGGACCAGAGGGGGGGACACTTAATATGCATCTGTTCTCATGTATATATCATCATCCTCTTTAATACAGTGGGTCATAAACAGGATTTAAAACACTGGATGTTAGACATTCATGAAAATCACAAAAATAAAAAAAAGATAGAGAGATTACAAAGACAAACGCCCAAATGTAACATCGTTATTATTATTATTCTTGATAACTGTGTTAACAACTTAAAAGTCTAAAAGGTGAAACTTAAGATAGGGAATAAAACGACGCATAATACTTGAAAAAAGGCTTTGAATGTTGGAATTTTTAAGAAATATATTTAGAATATAACACATTTTATTACGTATAAAAAATATTATTTTAAGTTGTATATATATTTTGATGGTTTTGCTATTGTTGTAAATACATGTGATTTTAGGGTTCACTGCTTTTTGCTGCACCATGTGTTTTTGATATATATCTTTTAACATTTCACTTATCAACCTTTAAACGTTGCTTTAACATCACATGTTTTAAATCCACTAATATAATCTTGGTGTTATTATACTGATGTTTTATTTCAAATCAAATTATGAAGTGATCTTTTCTGTTTTATTAAATGTGCAAAAATGTGATTTGGCTTTTATGCATTTATGATGTTTGTATCTTCCTTGTTGTCAGCATTATATCATTTTGTATAATTCCTTGATCTATATATATATATATATATCAATAATCAAGTGTGTGTGTAATAAAGGTTACGAATAATCAATAAAATCTGGGAGACAGTTTTTGAATTTCTTTCTGATCTTAACCCTTAAATGGGCATTATAACATTATGTACAATTAATTGATTGCTATTTTCCACATTTCACACATATATCACTGTTATTAGAAACTATTTTACACATTAATACACCTCTATTACACTGTAATCAAACCAATTATACTGCGCCCCTTTTACACATGGACACAGCCTGTAAAATGACTGTATCCCCAAATATACAGAAACCATTTAAGGGTTAAAAATGACATACCACATGTCAGGGAATAATTCTGTATACATGTTTACCTTTCGCCCTCTGACGCAGCATGCTATCTCCCTTAAGGAGGGGCTGCCCTAGCATTTTGTTGTTGTTACCAGTTTGTGACCGGGCAACTCTCGGTCAGAGATAGTTATTGTTGTGGGACACCAGGAACACATCCTTCTCGGGGTGTAGATGACCTCGAGCCATAAGCGACAACAAACGTGATTCAGTGTCCCTCAGCTATTTAGTCTATTGAAGAATGTTGATTATTACACTCTGAACTAGTTCAAACCTGGAGCTACAGGAGGGGTCTTCAGAATTGATTGTGGCGTCTCATCCGTGTGGTCAGACCGTGGCCCGTGACATGTCTTGTGAATTCTCCGGCCGAAGCTCCAAATAAACCGTCAGTGTTTGCCATCAAAGCTCCAGCTCTCCTCGTGTCTCTCTCCGAGTCCTGTTTCCAAATGCTTCAGAAGTTTCCCCCACACCACACGACTCAAAAGTACTTTATATTGAGGGCTATTTTAAAATCAGATCAAGGCACAATATGTGTTATTCGTCCTTCACTGTTAATAAATAAGTAAATATTTAATGTATAACTGTATTTAAAATCAAATCTATCACAATCCAATTTAAAAAAAAAGACCAATAAACAAAAACTTTCTGAGATGTATCGACAAATGAC